CTGTCTGTCGGTCGTCGGTCTGTCTGTCGGTCTGTCTGTCGGTCTGTCTGTCGGTCTGTCTGTCGGTCTGTCTGTCGGTCTGTCTGTCGGTCTGTCTGTCGGTCTGTCTGTCGGTCTGTCTGTCTGTCTGTCTGTCGGTCTGTCGGTCTGTCTGTCTGTCGGTCTGTCTGTCTGTCGGTCTGTCTGTCGGTCTGTCTGTCTGTCGGTCTGTCGGTCTGTCTGTCGGTCTGTCTGTCTGTCTGTCGGTCTGTCTGTCTGTCTGTCTGTCGGTCTGTCTGTCTGTCGGTCTGTCTGTCTGTCGGTCTGTCTGTCTGTCTGTCGTCTGTCTGTCGTCTGTCTGTCTGTCGTCTGTCTGTCTGTCTGTCTGTCTGTCTGTCTGTCTGTCTGTCTGTCTGTCTGTCTGTCGGTCGTCGGTCGGTCTGTCGGTCGTCGGTCTGTCGGTCTGACTTTTCCACTGATATCTCAAGAACCATACATCAGTTTTTGATGAAACTTGGTGCATAGGTTTTGGTAAAATTCCATGCATATTAATTACCTAATTTGCATGATACTAGGCTAATTTTTAGCTGTTCCATGACTGTTCCATTGATATCTAAAGAGCCACTCGTTGGATTTTGATGAAACTTGGTATATAGATGCTCTGAACTTGTGCACCGATTTGTTTAGTTTTTGGTAAAAATCCGTGCACATTAATTACCTAATTTGCATGATAATTAGCTAATTTTTAGCTGTTCCATGACTGTTCCACTAATATCTAAACAACCACTCATTGGATTTTGATAAAACTTGGTACATAAGATGCTCTGAATCAGTGCTAGGTTTTGATTAGTTTTTGGTAAAAATTATCTAATTACTAATTACCTAATTTGCATAATGAAAAGTAAATTTTCGGTTTTTCCACTGATATCTCAAGTACTAATCATCACATTTCAATGAAACTTGGTACATAAATGTCATAGAACACTGCACAGACCTGATAGTTTTTAGGGTAATATTATAATATTAATTACCTAATTTGCATAATTAATTAATTTTCAGCTTTTGATGTTTCAAGTAGTAAGCATTACATTTCAATGAAACTTGGTACATAGATACTCAAGGACTATGCAGAGATTGATTGTTTTGGGATAAATAATTGTGCATATTAATTACCTAATTTGCATAATTAGTTAATTTTCAGCTTTTTACAGATATCTCAAGTACTAATCATCACATTTCAATGAAACTTGGTACATGGATGCTGTAGGACAATAGACAGACCTTGATAATTGTGGGTTAAAATCTGTACATATTAATTACTAATTTGCATAATTAACCACTTTTAAGCTATCACACTGATATCTAATTATTCCATTTCAATGAAACTTAGCACAAAGATGCTCTAGGACAATATACAAAGTAACCTGATTAGTTTATGGTTAAAATCTGGTTATATTAATTCCCTAATTAGCATAATAATTCATATTTTTTTTTGGTTCCAATCGTATCTCAATAAAACTTGGTACATATATGGTTTGTTACATTGTGCAGACCTCATTTGTTTTCACTCAAGTCTGTTCATATGAATTTTCTGATTTGCATTATTAGTTTTCAGCTTTTCCATCACAATCTCAATGAAGTGCAAGTAATTTTGAATTTAATGTGTCTCCAATACTCTCAGCACATGGGAGTTCTTTCTAAGCTTTCTTTGATCAGGGTTGTTTTGTGGAAAACTTGAACGTCACAGTAAAAGCATTATTATTATTGAGGGCATTATGTGTTCATACCTGCACTTAAAGCAGCCTAACTTCACTAAACCCCTTAATCAAAGGCTGCTTAAATTACATTAGAGTCGCATGTTCACAATTGTGAATCTAAGACCAACATAAGCTAGGTAACTTCTAGTGCAACCTAGATTGTAAGTAATTAAAAACAGGATATTGGTGATACCCTTGCCATATATGGGTAAGAATATAGTATTTAAGCTATAGAATATCCTTGCTCAAACTTAGATATATCTTTTCTGACAGCGGTCTTCCTGCTCAAGCCTTTGAGTATATTCACTACAATGATGGTCTTATGGCAGATATTGATTACCAATACAAGGCCAAGGTTAGTTCTTTCATTCCTATTGACCATTGCAAAAATATATAACTAGTATATAGTGTTTTATTTTATATACCGCTATAGTGTAAGTGTGTTATTATTATTATTGTAGGGGTAAGTGTGTGTGCTAGTGTAGGGGTAAGTGTGTGTGCTAGTGTAGGGGTAAGTGTGTGTGCTAGTGTAGGGGTAAGTGTGTGTGCTAGTGTAGGGTAGGGGTATTTTATTAATAATATTAGCGTTGTGAGTGACCCGTTCTACATTTCTCACATAATGTCATGTCTCATTGCCGGTTTACCAGAATCGCCCAGGAATATTTCCCAGGGATATTCTACTTAGTTTCACCTCCACACCGTCACAATATTCCAGTTTCAAATATCTTTCAGAACAGAGACGATATTCGATAAACTCTACGATTTCTTGTGTAGACTTCAGTCGACGACCGTCGCTACTCCTGTCGGAACG